TCCAGATATCCTTGTTTGTTCAGTCCTTGTTTGAAGACCATCAGTAAGGTCCCCCTTCTTTCCCATTCTCCTCCTGTTCTGTTGAATGTTCAAAATTTCCAATTCCTTTCTACTCTTATTTTTACAGCAATTGTGTTTACTGAGAGTTATTAGGTATCGGTAGGATGGTGTTCACACCCGCACTCCCTTCTCCCAAGCATTCAGTCGGTTATATCCGTAGCTTTCTTCCGTGACCTCTGCCTATCCTCTCTAACATAAGGTGCTTGGCATACACATTGTGCCTTTTTATCTTATCTCAAATGGAGCTTTGGGACTATAAAGTCTGCCCTGCTGCCAGTTTTCTTATTTGTTCCACGGAACTTGTTTTGAGAGCTGTACAATGCAAGCTCAGTTCTCCAATTTTGCTTTTGTTCTACCCAACTATGTTGTGGTTAAACATGTTCGCAGCTAGTTAGGTGGAAAGAACAATATTTTTCAAGCTGTCAAGCATAGTTGCATCCCTTGTCTGAATCCAGACAAGGAGTGAAGAAAATTGTGAATGTTACATTCTAGACTTGGAGCTGATGAACACAGTTCCTGCCGTGGGCCAAGTTAGCTTCTATGCCCTCTGTTGCCAGGCCTGAGAGTTGAGGAAGCAAATCAAGCCACACATATAATTCCTCTGAGATCTGTTCTTGAATTTGGGAGCACTTTGTGGATGATTGAGCTCTAGGGATCAGACTACTCTATCTCTTGTTCCTCTCTTTTCAGTATATTCAAATGCATCATGAGCTCTTTGGTTTTTTTAACCATCTCTGTGCATTAGAGTTGCTGCTGTATGCCAGAAGAGAGGCAGTGAGGGAGAGATTCAACCCTGACAATTTTTCCTTGGCAACTGAAAAGCTAACAAAGAGATCTTTAAACCTATATCTCATTATTTTACCTTTTTACCTACTCCAGCTTTATTTTCCTATGGCTGCGTCCATGAAAACAGGCATTTTTCTCTCTCTCCTTTCCAGCCATAAATAGTGTTTTTCAGGTCCTGTTCTTCTCTGCCTGCCATTTGAGAAGCTCTTGTCCGCCTCCATCCATGAAAATCCAGCTCTCCCAAATTAATTGCTCTTTCTAGTGCTTCCATCTAATGGTCATCGATAAACATAACAAATAACTATACCATATTCCTGGTCTATAGAGTTAATGACCTAAGCCAGATGTGCATGGCATGAATCACAGCTCAGTTTCCATGGCTACAGTCCTTTTTCCTTCCCTATTCTAATAAAAGAAAAGACCTGAAAATAAAGTCATTAACTCTGAATTAGACCTAACTTTTTCCCCCCTTTGCTTTGACCATTGCTGTTTCTTTCTTTCTTTTATTGCTTCCCTTTCAAAATTCATCTTGTGCTTCTTCGACAATAGGATACCTTAAATCTCTACACGGTAGACCTTTCTGCTTTGGATGCAACACAAAGTTGTATTCTTGCTCTCCTCCTCAGTCCTAATACACATTCTCTCCTTTCCCCATGGACTTTGATTCTCCAGTTACATTACCATCTTTGATTTGAAAGATCATCTAATCTCTCTTCAAGGATTCTATCCTTTCATTCTGGTTGCCTGTAGTGCTACATAGCCTGTTCCTTTCAGACTCTTCTCCCTTTTCTTGCTGAAGTCTTTGAGTCAACCATCTGCAACCTATAGTAGCCAAGTTTAAGTAGACACTGTGAGGTGAGTTGGGGAGAGAGTGAGTGAGTGAGTGAGTGTGCGCGTGTGCGTGTGCGTGTGTGAGAGAGGGAGAGGGAGAGAGAGAGAGAGAGAGAGAGAGAGAGAGAGAGAGAGAGAGAGAGAGAGAGAGAGAGAGAGAGAGACTGGCATGGAAACGCTCTTGGACAATTCCTTAATAATAATAATAATAATAAAGTTGGAAGGTACCTTGGAGGTCATCTAGTCCAACCCCCTGCTCAGGCAGGAAACCCTATACCATTTCAGACAAATGGCTGTCCAGTCTCTTCTTAAAAACTTCCAGTGTTGGAGCATTCACCGTTTCTGGAGGCAGGTTGTTCCACTGGTTAATTGTTCTAACTGTCAGGAAGTTTCTCCTTAGTTCTAGATTGCTTCTCTTTTTGATTAATTTCTATCCGTTGCTTTTTGTCCTGCCTTCGGGTGCTTTGGAAAATAGCTTGACTCCCTCTTCTTTGTGGCAGCCCCTGAGATAATGGAATACTGCTATCATGTCCCCCCTTGTCCTTCTCTTCATTAACTAGACATACCCAATTCCAGCAGCCTTAAACTTGAAAATAATCCAATATTTATCAATTTCTCCCTGAAACCAAGTGTGCCCCCCCCATACAGGACTTCCTGTGTGTGAATAAGATTCCAGAAGAGCTGGGCTGCTCTGGTTGCAGTAAACACAATACTGTAATTTCTTATGAGATGGGTGGCCATGTAAATATGATAAATAAATAAATCTTATATCACCTCAAAGATGGACCTCATAAACATTTCTGAAGTCACAAAAATGTATTCCATGCCCAATTTACAAGGAGGAAGAAAACCTCAGGTCCAGCATTGTTTTGACAGGCATTTAGGACAGAACCCTCCTCATCTAAACAAGAGGAACGCTTTGGGAAACTCAAAATTAACCTGATTCCCAAGGAGATATTCCTTGGACGCTTCTGATCGCCTCTGAGCTGAACCAATCTTCTGCTGCTTTCCAGGTGTTTGGGCTTGGGAACAAAACCTACGAGCATTTCAACGCCATGGGGAAATTTGTAGACAAGAGGCTGGAGGAGCTCGGAGCTCAACGGATATTTGAACTTGGCCTGGGAGACGATGATGGAAAGTGAGTGGCTGCTGGAATCTTTGCTCCAAGTGGTTGTTTGGCCTGGATAGAAGACAGCCGGCTGGTCCTCAGGCACGGCCAGTCCTAAGTGGAGTTGGATGCCTGCTTTCTCTGGGACAGGGCTGAATGATGTGAGCCTTCTGAGCAGGGCTGTGGAGTCGGTAGATAAATGTTCCGACTCCGACTCCGACTCCTCAGTATTTTGTACTTCCGACTCCGACTCCTCTGTATTAATATGCGAATGTATTTTATACATTCCTTGAAGGAAAGAAAAGCAACAGTGGGAGGATCCAGGAAGGGGCATTTATTATAAAACATGATTTCCCTAGTAGAATCCCATAGTCATGTTTAAAGTTTAAGCTAACAATCGGAGTTTACAAGTTTTTATAGCCTTAGCTGAATGACAGCAGTTTTTCCAATGGTTTACAGCAGGGGTAGTCAACCTTGGCTCTTTTATGACTCGTGGACTTCAA